CTGGGTATGTTAACCACTGTTTCAGGACTCGTAATATTATCTTCAGAGACTTTCTCTCTTTTCTTAGAGCTGATAGCCCTCGAGCAGTTTTGCGCGAAATTCCAAAAACAAAAATTTATCTTCTTGTTTGCCACTCAAGGGCATTATTATCGTCTGCAGAACACTTATTAAACATTTATATCATGCCCTTAACAACAGCTCATATTCATCCTATGCAGAACCTACCAAACTAAACCTGTCTCGAGATTAACTGTTCTTTCTTTATAACACCCTTCCTTCTCCTGTGACATAGAACCTTTTGACTATCTTGGTCCAACTCAACTTGGACAGTGAGTTATGGGAGACGAAAGAGCGATCTTAAATGCTACTTTTACATGACTCTGATTTTGAATTCGGCAAAGGACAAATTAAGTGGTATGTAGAACAACAACAAACAAAAAAATTCAAGTTAACTTTAGGCTTACTGGTTTCTAGTGCTTCGCCACCTTTCGGCATTTAAACCATTAGCAAATAAAATAATTTACTTAGTACTTTTCCCCTTTCAGTTTCATTGCGCCATTATGTTTTTACCTTAATGTACTTGTTGATCTCCAGGTGGAATTACATATCCAGTAAAAAAAAAAGACTTGATAAAATTCAATACGACCTTTTTTCTTCTTCTTCTCAAAAGTCATAGTAAGTTTGAACGTCATTATTTCCTTACCTCAACTGTTATGCAGATAATCAACATCACGAACTATATTAACAAATCACTTAATTTGAAACAAACATTAAGCCTAATGTTAGACCTACAGAACTTATATTATAGTTATATGACAAATGTTACTAAGCTCAGTGCCTTTAGCTTCACAATCACAGTCGAAATTTTTTTCTTTTGTTTTTTAATCCTATCAAATGTAGTTTTATTTATCCAAATAGTTATTTCAAATAAAAGTAGGCCTAACAGTAAGAGCTAAAAAAAGTAGTAACACTAGGCATTTGCTAAGAAATTTCATTATATTTTATAGCACAAAAAGAAAGCAATTTCATTACATAAGGCTTGGTTGTAATGAAGATGACACTTGCAGTATCCTTCATAGTAAGAGTACAGCTTTATAAATGAAAATGTTACTAACTCTAGACTTATAGTTATACATGTACAATAGAAGTTATAACATTAACAAATACAACTACAAAGTGCAAGTTCCGTGGCTATTAGTTATAACTAGTATAAATATAATAATAATAATATAGGCCTAAAGTAAATTTGTCTGAAGTATGAAAAATAAGGAAATGATGCTTTGATAAATTTCGATTCTTCGTAATATGTGAAAATGTTCCTGCTCACGTTGATAAAAAACTGACAAACTTGCCATGCGCTCTTAAGTCTAATACTTTGAAACTTCAATATACTAGTAACAGATGTACCAGTCCTATTGTTTAATCAAACGAATATTTCTCTCAACGTTAATGTGAATCTATTAACAAATAACTAAAAAAAAAGGTATAAAAACTGATAGATATTAGAAATCAGAGGTAAAGTATTCAAAATAAAACACACATTCACATGACTCACCTAAACCTTCTATGCGCTTTTCGAGTGTTTCAAAATGAAAGCGTTCTTAGTGGAATTTACTCAAAATAGGGACCTTTCTGATTATATTTTTTTCTTCGACTAAACTTTTAATAAATAAAGAGAGGAACAGACGGACGAACGCTTAAGAATTATAATAAGGAAATTACTTTTAAACTTTTAGAATTAAATTTGTTTGTTTGTAATTAGGCACAAAGCTACATAATGGGCTATCTATGCTCTGCCTATCACGAGTATCGAAACCCGGATTCTAGCGTTTTAAGTCCGCTGTGCCACTGGAGGGCTTTTAGAATTAGAAGAATAAAATGTCTACGTATCTTGATGACAGCTCTAGATTACATTATTATTTTGCGATGTTAATATTAATTGGATATATTTTTATAATTAAGTGTTATAATTGTCGTTGTTTAGACTTAGAGCGAAGATTAGGCTTCTTCTAAGTTTGTGTAATATTAATGATGTTTCGTGAATGGAACTTACTAGAGGGTTAAACTCTAGAAAATATTAACAACTGTGGCTAGAGTTTCAGTATGTTAGCGGAGTATATCATGACATTTTTAAAATTGGTACAAATATATACATTAGTTATTAGGCCTAAGCATAGAAAATAAACTTAGGCCAGTGTCTACATTTCAATAACTTATGGCATGTAGAATGGTAACTGTTTTTAACATTCAAACGAAAATCAACTTCAGCCTTTACTGCTTTAGTTTAGTTGTCATTTGTTTCGACTTAGAAATTGTTTTACAAGTGAGTACACACGATTTTGTGTTTGTTATAAACAATCAAGTTTAATTTTTCAAAATATTTGTGAGTAATTGTTACTTTTGCAAATGATTTAGTGTGTGTTGTTTTCTGCAGAATCATTGTGGAACTGTCCAAATTAAAAGGGTATGGTTCGACGATGATCTTTACACTGAAAAGCCATTGTGGAGTAGTTTACATGTAAGCGCTGTTGGTGCTATGTGATGGAGATAGGGCTTGTAAGGTGTAAAAAGGCCTTGCTACGTAGCTGAAGTACATCCCGTGACCAAACTTAAACAGGTGGTTCGTATCTTCTCAATCTCATCTGTCTGGTTGATACTTATACTGATCATCGATAGTGTGTAATCCATGTTTTTCCCAGCCTCTAGGTCAACATGTAGTTTCGACAAGGTTTTGTCATCATCACATGATGACAAAACTTTGACGAAATGTTGTACATTTGCTGTTATGTTAAACTTGTATTGAATATTTCTTCATTATCCATTCAAGCCGTCTCCAAGCATTACTATGTTGATGATGTTTAGTCTTTACAAAGATCCACATATATACACAGGGTGGTCACAAGTAAATAGACACCACCTTTTCAGAAAAAATGAAAATTTTCAGTCATTTTCACATGAATTG